TGGATCAAAGGCCTCAACATAAAACCAGATACACTGAACTTGATAGAAGAAAAAGTGTAGAGCAGTCTTGAACACAATGGCACAGAAACAACTTCCTGACAGAACACCAATAGCATAGGCACTAAGATCAACAATTAATAAATGGGACCTCATGAAACTGCAAAACTTCTGTAAGGCAAAGGACACTATCAATAGGACAAAGTGGGAGCCCACAGAATGGAAAAAATCTTGATCATCTCCACATCTGACAGAGGAGTAATATCTGAAATATATAAAGAACTCAAGAAACCAGATATCAAAAAAACAAATGATCCAACAAATAATCCAATTAAAAAGTGTAGGTACAGATCTAAACAGAGAGTTCTCAATAGAGGAATCTCAAATGACTGAGAAACACTTCAAGAAATGTTCAGCATCCTTAGTCACCAGGGAAATGCAAATCAAAATTACTTTGTGATTCCATCTTACACCTGTCAAAATGGCTAAGATTAATAACACAAGTGACAGATCATTCTGGTGAGGATGTGGAGCAAGGGGAACACTCCTCCATTTCTGGTGGGAGTGCAACCTTGTACAACCACTATGGAAATCAGTATGGCAGTTCCTCAGAAAATATGGAATCGATCTACCTCAAGACTCAGCTTTATCACTCTTGGGCATATACCCAAAGGTCACTTCATCCTACCACAAGGACACTTGCTCAACTCTGTTCATAGCAGCTTTATTCACAATAGCCAGAAACTGGAAACAACTTAGAGGTCCCTCAACCAAAGAATGGATAAGGAAAATATGGTACATTTATACAACAGAGTATTTCTCAGCTGTTTAAAGGAAATGATATCATAAAATTTGCAGGCAAATGTATGGAACTAGAAGAAAAAATCATCCTGAATGAGGTAACCCAGACCCAGAAATACAAACATGGTGTATATTCACTTATAAATGGATATTAGCCATTAAGTAAGTGATAACCAAGCTACAATCCATAGGCCCAGAGAGGTTAGGTAAAGAAGTGGCATTTAGGGAGGATGCATGTATCTCCCTGGGAAGGGGAAATAGAATAGATTATGTGGGTAGACTGGGGACAGTTGGGAATAGGAGTAGGAGGGATCAGGTCGGGGGTGATGGGATGGAAGGAGAGAGTATGGGGGTAAGTGGCTGGAAGTGGGGGCATTTGGGGTGTGGTATGGAAACCTAGTACAGTGGAAACTTCGTGGAATATATGTGGGTAATCCTAGTGAGGACTCCTAATAATGGGGATTACTGAATCTCAACTGGTCATTTCTTATTGTCAGGCAAGGCTTCCAGTGGTGGGACTGGGTTACATTTGGTTGAGTTGTTGGCCAAGAGGATCCCACAGAGATCAGCAAACATTGCAGCATGATGTTAGGACAGAAGGTCATACTCTGTAAACTGCCAGTGGGACCCCATTGCTAAGGACAGCATGCTCACAGCTCACAGAACATAGAAAGATCAAGCCGGTGCCTGCATGAAGCCTTCATCCTTATGTTCCAGTCCCCTTGGTATGGGAACGTGCACTTCAGGCTACCAAAAGAGAAACATGGACACCAACCTAGACAGACACCTTTGACCAACAACCTGCCCTGCCTGCAAGATGGGCGGCGGTGGTGCAGAACTTGTGGGAGTGGCCAACCAATGTCTGATTTAACTCCAGGAGAGGGAGTCCATGCCCTACGTTGCCTGGATGGCAGGAACCTGAGACTAGCTACACCAGAGACTTAGGGTAGAATCAAATAGGTCTGGCTTTTGAAAAAAAAAAAAAAAAAAAACAGCAAATCAATGGAATGATTCCTAATGATATTCTGCTATACTCATAAATCTGTGCCTCATCCAGTCATCATTAGAGAGACTTCCTTCATCAGCAGATGGGAGCAGGTACAAAGACCCATGGCCAGATTATGCAGAGAGAGAGTCTAAATTAGAGGTCCCCATTGGGTCCCTCCCCTCGAAGCTCAGGGACTACTGCAGAGAATGGGTGGGAAGGTTGTGAGAGTCAGAGGGGATGGGGGACACCAGGAAAACATGGCCCACAGAATCCACTAAGCAGACCATGTATGGGCTCACGGAGCCTGCATAGGTCTGCACTAGGTCTTCTGTGTATATGTTAGGGCTGTTGGCTTGGTGGTTTTGTGCGACTCCTAACAGTGAGAGCAGTGTCTCTGACTCTTTTGCCTACTCTTGGGACTCTTTTCTTCCTGTTGGGTTGCCTTGTCCAGATTTGGTGTGAGGGCCTCTGCCTTGTCTTACTGTATTTTGTTTTGTCATGTCAGGTTGTTACCTCTTGGAGGCCTGCTCTTTTCTGATGAGAGATGGAGGGGTAGTGGATCTGGAAGAAAGGGAGGAGGTAGAGAGCTGGGAGGAGGGAGGGAGGGAAAATTGTGGTTGGGGTGTATTGTATGAGAGAAGAATCTGTTTTCAATTTTTTAAAAAAAGGAAAACAAAAAATATTTTCCCTTTAAAGCCTCCCCCACTTCTCTCTCAACTAAAACATCTTTGTTTTCCTAGACACCCTTGTGATAGCAAGATGGCTGCCAGAGTTCCACACATCCCATCCAGACATGAGTCTATTCAGCAGATAAAATAGACTGTTTTCCTTTTATTTGTTGGTGTCTAATAAGAAGGAGTTTTCCTAAATTTCCCCTCATAATTAATTTACCAAAAATTATACCCCATGTGTATGCTTAAATTAACAAGAGACGTAATCCCCATGACCGAGTTAACACAGACTTGGGGTTTCTTACCTCAGCACTATGAACATTTCAAGATGCATAATTTGTTTGGGGGCGGGGGGTTCTGTCCTCTTCCCAGGAGTTGATCAATGAGGCCCCAGAGGCTTCCCATGTAAAACAGACTATCACCATGGGTTGTCCACTAGAACTACATAGTAAAACCCTATTGCTGAAAATACCACATACTGGTATTTCCAAGATGTGGAAATCAAGCTAGAACTGAACTGGAAGCTTCTACCCAAATATCCCTGAAGAAAGTTCAGCAGCAAGCAGCACTTCCAAGACTTACTGATCACCTTGCCAATGTTAGAAGGTGGACAGTGTCATCCTACTAGAGGCTGGAGGTGTGGGCAGCACTCGGGAGCTAACTTGCCCCCACACAGGAGATCCCATTATTAAACTCTCAGAAACGTCACTGCAAGTCTGTGAAACACAGCCATTCTCTAAAACTAAATGACATAAATTCAGGAATTGGGTCCACAAACAGTATATAACAATACCCAAAACAAACAAAAAAAGATTGCACAGAATAACCAAATCAGGAAAAGATTAAAACATCTCTCTCTCTCTCTCTCTCTCTCTCTCTCTCTCTCTCTCTCTCTC